AAACAAACCTACTCAAAAAAATAAGTGATGTCTCAAGTCAAGGTAAGACCTCCGGAATCTTCTGCTCCTCTGATCCCAATATATCCTTGCAAAAGGGACATCAAGACGCCACACGCCCCTCCCAAAATCCATGCACTGCATATCCATTCATGTCTCTTTCGAGAACAACCCTCCCATCTTCGAGTTCTTCCACCCAACATCGATTTGGCCAACCGCGTCGTCACAGAACCTTCCCTCGTCACAGAACACCGACTCCCAACGACCCGAGTCGGTCACCGCGACGTGGTGGCGGGGCGGCTCCTGCACCTTCGCCAAGTCCACCACCGAACCTCCGAAGAACCTCTCCAGGCGGACCGGCGGCCCCGATGAGACCGGGCACTCGAGGACGGAAGCCGAGCGGACGCGGACGCGGACGCCGGCGCAAGAAGCGGACGCGCCAAAAGAATGACACCATCATGAGCCCCCTGCAACATGGACTGTGAACATGGACCCCTGCAAGACATTGGTAAGACTATTTGCATTCTACCCGCCCAGTGGTGAAGGTGGTTTTCAGGGTCCATGTTCATCTGCAGGAGGGTATCCACAAATGGTCTAGACCTCCGAACTAAGACGTGGTGTGCTTCATCATTCGCAAAAAACAAAAAACTAAAGCTGCAGATGGTTCCGTCCTCACTGTCTCCTCCAACTGGGTGACTTCTCTGGGCCTTCCGGGAAGACATGGAATGATGGGGGATGGCACCCGGCACCCCCATGGGTGCCCCTGGGGACCCCTGAACGTTCTGACCAGATTCCTCATGATGAACTCTTTGTTTGGGTGTCAACCTACCATGGTTTGGTGGGGAAGGTGCCATGACGAAACCTGCCATGTTCGAACGGAATGTGAACCAGTTTGGGAGGGTATCCAGATTGAAACTTCGAGAGATTCTTTTTACATAGTCCCCTGTGAATGATGGTTGGTATCACTTGCCTGACATTTTAGAGAGGTTCCTCTATTGAGTTCGACTGTCGTTTGGATGGAGCTGTAGACCGGTAGACCCAATCGCTGTGCCAGAAGGCCAGAAGCCATGGATTTCATGATGTCCATGATGCTGCAATATCCTGCATGTGAAAACCTGCCTGGGTTCTGTGTCGAAGTTCACCAGCAAAGAGGCTCTCGACAAGGATGCCTTTGAGGCATGAAGAATCCACAATCCATCCGTATGAGATCATCATGGCAAGGAGCAGATCGACGATGCAAGTTCTCATCAATGGCATACCTAGCCCCACCTTGGAGGCTGGATCTTCAGAAACTTGAGACGACTTGAAAAAGAATTGAACATATTTCAAAACATTCAAGCTGCTCAGGCTCCAACTCTGAAACCAATGATTTCCACACAGCTTCCGATTTGCTCCATTCAGCAAAGCGACCTCCATGTCTTTTTATATAATCACAAATTATATGGCAAAAAAACTTCTGGTGGCCTTGAGAGGCTGGTCCGGATTGCTTTTGCCTAGTTCATATGCGAGCCTCAGCCCAAGCTGGTCTTTGTCAGACTTGGTGTGGAGCAGAATCAGGCTGTGAAAGTTTGCACTCACCAACTCACTGTTTTCATGAAGTGTGCACCATGAGTTGTCCTTCTGAGAGTTTGGATGTATGATGTATACTAAAAACAAAAAAACACGTCACTGCTTTCGCACAAATCTCGCACACTTTTTGTTGTCGTTCTGAGCGCAGCGCTGAAGAGAATCGACATTGCGCCGCAACTGCAAGACCTCTTTTAGTTCTGGACCTCAAAGAGAAAGAGTTCAGTCGTCTGAAACTCGAAGTGAGAAACAAATGAAAGCCAGATCCGTTCTGCGAAGGAGAAACGATCCCCAATGAGGCTCGAAGTCTAAACCGCCAGCGGACGTGCTGACCGGAAAAGCTTCCAAAACCCAACCCTCGATCATTGGGGTGTCCTTGGTTGGGTCCAACAGTCCCAAGCCAATTCAATCCAAGCCACAGAGTTGAGCTTTCGCAGCTGCAGCCTGGCCGTTTCGCCCCCCCGTCCGTCCGGGGCGAAGTCGGACTCGTCCGATCGATCGGAATCCACCGTCCTCCACGAAGCAATTGTGGTTGTCGATGCTTTCGGGATTCACACAAACGAGACCTCGGACGTGCGGCCGGACCATGGACCACCTACTGAAGTACCGCGATGGCGGGGTTGGTGGATGTTGGTGGCACAAAGGGGGAAACACGCCATCCCGTCGCTGCGACAGAGTGGATCTGAGGATGCGGACAAAGATGCACCCGAAAAGGCGGTCTTTTCCGTGCCTGGCCCCCCCGAAGACCGGTGGTTTCCGAGAAGAAAGACAAGAGGTCCGTGGTTTACTCAACGGTTGTCAGTTCTTGTTTTTTAGTGTATATATGTGTATATCATGGTTTTCTGCTGTTTTCTGTTGGTTCAATTTAACAGATTTTGACATCAACCGGGTTTGAACATCTTTTAAACCAGTTGAATGCACACATCACGCTGGTCTTCTGCGTTTCCTGTGGCCTGCGTCTTTTTCCCTTTGGTCCTGAGCAGTTGAAGTGTCTCAACGAACAGCGGAACGAGTCAGTGTCACCGACTCAGTCTGTCTTTGTTGTGTTTCTTCACTCTCTGCAACGGTCTGCAACGTTTGGTATCTAAAAGCTATGTATTAAGCGAGTACGTAAACGAAGCAGCAATAGTCCATCCAGACAGTACCAGACGAAGATGATACGAAAGTAGCATGAATGTCATGTCATCATGAGATCCCAGCGGAGCTATGAGATCAGAGATCGCATTCATGAGCTCATCCTGGCCCCGACTTCATAACGTCAGTCATGGCAGCCATGGCATCGCTGGTGTAATCCCAACTTGTGCTGACAAACAGCATCCGAGCGCTGCACGGCAATCCGCCGCTTCAGCGTTCTCATGCAAGCTGGGTCCTCGGATGCGGCGCGCGGAGAGTGCGCGGTATTCGTTCGGTGCCGCCGTCCAGTCCGATGCCTCCGAGATAAAGATGGCCTGGGCTTCTGGGCCTCGTAGCGATCGTCGTTCAGCTTCAAATGCCGCAAAAAGGCACCCATTCCTCAGCTGTGGGAACACCACATTCATGTCTTCATCTAACTGAAGGTGTTTTAGGTGTCAGACCAAACGGGAAAAAGATGGCATCTTCAACCTGTGCCGTCAACGGACGTCACACGAACACGTCAACACTGCACCGTACGGACGTGTGCTTTGCTCGCCTCCAGATACAGCATCGCATTCAAAGCGTTCCTCCAGAGACGAGCAATGTCCGCAATGTACACGTCCTTCGTTTCGGCCCATCGTCGCGTGGCGTCGCAGCGCGAACAAGCGGAACGCCGCGAGCCGCGGGGGGATTTCCCGAGCCTCGTTCAATCGTCGAGAGGGCCTTCCTGTTGGACGGTCTTTCCAGCAGCACCTGCGGACGAAACACCCAAATAGGTTAGAAAAAAAAAAACGTGCCATGATGAAGACCATTTGTTTAGACATATCGACTGGCTTTTCCTTGTTGTGTTTTAACATTGTTTTGCACTTTTGCCATGGAAATCCATGGGTTTTGCCATTGTTTGAGGCGCAAATCCGGTCGGCCCAAATCCGGTCATCGGCGTGATCGGCCAAGGAGGCATGCTCAAAAGCTCCGTGTTCGGGCTGGTGGGATATCTGTGACGCGAGGGATGCAAGGGACATGTTCGGTATCCTAGCCGCAGCATCCAAATGTGAATATAGGCTTTGAAGGCTACAGGGAATATCTCAGGCATTGGTGAAAACGAGGTTCCAGAAGCAAAAGATAGCAGCAAGTTGTTGACACGATCAGCATGTCAAAATATATGTGTTTGAATCTTTTTGAATGAGAACAGAGTCAGAGATCGATCTCATCAATTCAACAAATGGGAATTGGTTCACTGAAAACAATTTCCACAAATATTTCCTGCACACTCATTTTGGCCAACCGAACGCCGAACCGAACGCCGAACCGAAGCGACCGTTCGGAGGGCCGCTGGTGGCCCAAAAAGCATCCAAAAGCGGCAAGTGGGATCCGCTGGGCGATTGAACCACTCTGCACCGTTCGTCTTCTGTCGTGTTCTTAATATGCATGGCCCGTTGCTCCCCAAAAAGTTCTGCACCTTTGGGATCACTTGGGACACCTCCAACACGATCGACGAATCGGGCATGTTCATCCTCGGTGTTCCTTTTGGCGGGGTGAAGAAGGCAAAGTGGGAAAGAAGCAGAATGGGCCAGCGGAGCAAGAAAAAATACTCCACCGAAATGGAGTCATTTGGTCCAAAAGCTGGAAAGACCACATGACTAATGTATACGTCGCCTCGATGAGGTGGATGTCGTTGAGTGGTTGGACTCTGTCCTGATCAAGAGTCGGTGATCTTCAGAATCACCGCATTGGACGGACGCCCAAGAAGCAGAGTACCAGTCCAAACTCTGCCGGCGGCTTTGATGTCCACAAATGAACCATGATGAGCAAATAGATGCAAAAATAGAGTCCGTCATGGGTTGGATCCCCTGCAAGTGTCTGAACATGTCTGAACCTACCATTGTCATGGTATTCTGGCAGTCTCCTTTACTTCCAGACATTTGCACCAACCAAACCCACCTTCCAGCGCCGTTCGTCCGTCCTCCTTGGCTGTGCGTCGTTCCTCTCCTGCTCGAGACCCCCATGACGAGACGGAGCGGTGGACGAGCGTGCGGCGCGTCCGCCACCCCTCCTCGACCGAATAGGCTAGGAAGTCTTCGGCTTGTGCACTTTCACCTGGCGAGAACCGGGATCCGGCGTCTCTCTCGTTGAAAAGAATACCCACACCCAAGTCGGAAGGCGCTATGGAAAAAGACCACAGCTTGGTCCACTTTTGATAAAAGGGATTAATCAATATTTTAATATAGTTATACAACTATACACTTACAGTAGTTATGTGATATCTTAAGCATTCTTAAGCATTCTCCGCATGTCTGGTCTTTCCACCACAGCAAAAACTCCGCCTATGTTTGGCGCGGCACTGTGCAGGACCCAGAACCAACCTGCGCTACAGGACTGGGACGAGGACGACGAAGCTGCGACGCCCGAGATACCGAGGCCGCAACCATTGAAGCCCTGGGGCGAGCCAGCCGGATGCAGCGGGGATCGAACATCAAAACGCACAAGTTCAGACAAAGATCCAATGCATCCAATACAGAAAGTCTTTGTGGTCTGTGGTCTGTGATCCAGAAAGGAAAACAACAGACTGACCACAAATGACCAGTTCAGCCGGTATTCTTCTTCTATGACCAGTCAGTGCACGTGTCTTTGGAGGCAGTTCCACCACGGACAAGTAGTTCATGACTTGCAAAGATTGTTACAGTAGTGCAAGATACTAGGAATATGTCTCCAGTTGGATTTGTTGACCCAACCCCAGCCTGAGGACCATCACAGTCCGCACTGCTCCCTCCACGCGAAGTCGGCGTGGTCGGCTGGACGGCAGAGAAGTTATTCTTCTCCACCTGCGAAGTACCAGGTCCCCTTGTTCAGTGATTAACTTAATCACCAGAGACCCCTCTTGGGCAAGGTCATGGAAATAACCCCCTTCACTGTTTCATTCTAAGCCACCAACCAAATGTTCCATCTTGACATGTTCATCTCGTCATGAAAAACACCAGTCTTGACCAAAAATCGGTCACTTGCATTAGTCACTGGCCTTGGGGATGCGGCGAACAATTGGTTGCGAAGATCATCGAAGATCGACATGGTCCATGCAAGAAGGATTCCAAGTCTACTCAAGTGTGGTGTCAGAAAACTGCATCAGACTCGACATGACTTGATTGTATACATATATGGCATAATGATATAACATAACGTTCAACCAGTTCAAGCATGGTTTTTAAATGTTTTTCTGTGTCGACACAGATCGGGGTGATTCGAAAGAATGTGTGCCTGCAAGGAGTTGAACGCTGAATCATAGTCGGCGATGACTGGAACGGCAACCACTTGGAATTTCCCAAGCAAATAGTTTTCCTGGCAGAGATGGCAAAGGTCCAGCTGCCGCAGATTCTGACAGAGCAATGAGATGTCATATGATGTGATATGATGTGATGTACTGTAAAGATCTGTAAAGTATAAGATGCGAGCTTGGAAGTAAAGAAACTATCTGAAAAAAAAAAAAAAAACATAGAACAGTACTGGCATTGCACAGAATGTTGGCTTGAATCACACAGGGACTCGCGAGACCGGCTCTCTGAGTCCCTCACCTGTCGTCTGACTATGAAGCCTGTCGTCACCTCTTTTGGCACTTCCTTGGCGTTCTCCTCCGATGACATGCAACCCCCAAGCCCCCACAGGTGGAGCCCGGATCTATCCGTGAGCCAGTACTCAACGATACCAGGATCTACCAGGGAGGTCAACCTCCCAAACGGTTCTGGGATGTTTTTGGGGCTGTTAGCTATTGACCTCGTCTAATTCAATCCGTCCGAATCCGATCGCAACCAAACCTCTGAGAAAGGTCGACCGAACCGCGCGCCAACCACACGCACACCAATGCCAAGAACTGTGACCGAACACAACCAAAAAAGACGTCGCGTTTGATGTGTGTGTGTGCTGCTTTTTTGAGGGGTGCCACCAAAAAAAAGCCATCGTGAGAGGTTCCCGTCTTTGTCATTCCGACGGTCTTCGCATGTTTTCTGGCGAGCCTCGTCGCCCTGGAAAAGATGGATTTGCGACATCTGTTTCATCGGTCCAGGCCTCATGTGACTCTCGCCACTTCATCTGCCGTGCGTGTCTTTCGCAACAAAAATACGAGGGGCTATTGGTTCACTTGGGAGTGAGACGGAGTAATAAAGTGTCAGGTGATATACATACCTCATCATACCTCTTGAATATTCTATACAGTATATGATCTTGAATCCTGCTGGTTCTTTACTTGGAAGATCTTGGGAGTATCCCATCGATTCATCCACCAAGGCCATAGGTCAGGCCATCTGTTTGGCCCTCTGTTTGATACACCAAGGCGACCGACGGCAACTGCTGCGCAGACTCCGCCACCTGGGCGTCTTTGGCGACGATTTTCTGCGGGGCTGGGATTGAAAAACACAGGAAGTGAAGATGATTGCCAAAGACATGGGTCATTTGAATGCCCTCTCCTCTCAATTCTTCTCACACGCCGGCCTTCTGCAAAAGCTTGCCTGCAGCATCCTCGAAGCTGCTCCACATGCTCAGTACCTGCAGGGTAAACCCTCTCCATCTTGCATTGAAATAGGGAGGCGCCCAAAAGACAAATTGCCAAAAAATCTGGTGAAATAGAATGTAAAACGACTGAACCTATTGTCCCTTGGTTGCAAGGTCTCCCTAATTCAATACAATCCCATGTATATTAAGTGAGTGATGGACAAAAACCTCTGGTTAGAGGGACCTAGCAACGAATGTTCAGGGTCGGCCTCCTTCCTCTGTCCATTCTGAACCAACCAGGGGGGCGACCCAGTCCACCCTTCCAGAGTTACCTTCCGAAGCTGCCAACAACGACGGGTCCGCGGGCCGCGAGTCCGCGGTCCGGGGCCTCATCATGACCCAGCTGCTCGACGACACGCTGCTTGGTGACATCTCGTACCTTGACGTCGTTTCAGACGTCAGCGGACATCTCCGTCGTAAAAAAGACTCCCACATGTGACACGTGCCATGGTCCTTACATGTCGAAAACCATCGAAAACGGCTCTGTGTTTTCCCTGAAAGAGGGTTTTCCTCTACCAACCAGTGAGGCTTGGATCACATTCAATAACCAGTCGTGTATACTGCCTTGAAGCAAAAGTGGAACAGTTCTACAAGAGGCTCCTGGTCAGCTTCCATGATTGGAAGGTATAAAATCGCAGTGTGCCAGACTGACCGGAGAAGCATGGGGTTCAACCCCGGCGTTGTACCTGCCCGAGACTCCCGCACCTTCGCGGTGGAAAACCGGTGGCCCGTACCCCCGGTGGCCTTGAAGCGGAGATGGTCCGACACCACGGGCATGGAGGGATTGCTCTGGGCCTCGGTGAGGCGTTTTGGGTGAAGGATGTGGGCCATGTGATGCCACGCTGCGGAGGGGGGGGCGTTCGATTTCGGGCTCAGAAGTCTGGCCAAAGCTATGCGATCCGGGCGAAAGCTATGTGTATAGAATATTGATGCCCAGATGGGGCCAGTCATCCAGATTCTACATGACTCCCGTTGAAGACTTCGCATGTCCATGTTATTGCCCCGCGCCCGACCCGTTGCCCCCCGCCCTGGGCCGTCGGTGACTGCGCTGCGCCCCCGGACGTAGGGCGAGAAGCCCGCGTCTTGGGGGTCCAGCGGTTCGCCCTGCACGGTCTCGACCGCCCATCCGACCGTCGGCGGCGGTCTCGAAGATCCACGGCTTCGAAGATCCGTCGTTTCAATCCCGAAAGACGTATGCTTCATGATGATTCGTTCATGATCTGTAAATGCCATATGGTCTCTTCAAGCTCAAAACCATACACTGCCATGGAATGACCCAGGTTGCTGGGCCGGCCGATTCCAAGGCCGAGCCTTTCGGAGGAAAACAAGGAGAAACCACGAGGATTCCACGGCCTCTCGTGGTCGAAGTTCGTGGTAGTCTTCTTTGACCTGCGGATGTGTTGGATGGGGTCGGAAAGTCACTTTGGAACACAAGTTTTAGTTCACTTTGGATAACAAAAGATGTGTCAATTTGGAAAACAAAACAACCCAAAAACATGGAAGGGTGACAAAAGCCAATTTCTGAGAGATCACTTTGGAACACAACACACCAGGTTGTTTGGGTCACTTTAGAACTCACACACACACACAGACACGGATGGAGAGGGCTTAAAGATGAAGGATGGGGTGGGGTGGGGGGGAAGGGTATATAGAAAGAAGTATTCATATACCACACCAGTTTTTTTTGTATATACTAAGGAAAAGGCTAAAGGTTGAAGAATATCTTGCTATAGTGGTTACTGTGGCCTCCAACCTACTAGCGATGGCCTCCATAGTAGTAGCGATGGCCTCCAACCTACTAGCGATGACACGCGTTCCGAAGCGATCACATTCCTGCGTTCCGAAGCGATCGTTTTTCTGCGTTCCGAAGCGACGACCTACCTGTTGGATGGTGTGTTCTTGGGAGGGAGACATCAGGAATGCCCAATGGGATCCAATGGGTATCCATCCATCCATCCATCCATCCAGCCAGCCAGCCAGCCAGCCATCCATCCATCCATCCATCCAACTGATGATCCAACCATTCAACCAACCATTATCATCCACTCACTGGAGGGGTCCAAAATGGTCGAGATGACCACCCATACTATGGAACTATGGAACCGCAGCAGTTACTGGACAGGTGGCTTCCATTTTGGAGACTCCAGGAGAGCAGATCGCTCGCTCATTGTCCGAGAGCAGATCGGCGCCTGCCATCGTGTGGCACTGCCCCTGAGAGCGGCTCCAATCTTTTCGGCAGCTGCCTGCGTCATGCAAAAGGAAGTCGAGGGTCGAGGGTACCGGGTATATAGCCAATGATCCCTATGAAAGCGATCTTCAAACAAGGTGCTTCTTCACTGTACCAAGCTAAGAAAGGGGGTCCAAAATCGTGAAGAACAATGAAGAACGCACTGTGCAAAAAAGACATCTCTGCTAAGTGGGTGCTCGCGCATTGTTTCCGCTGTCCTCCTGTTCTGGCGTATAGGTCTTCTCTTCGGAAAGGCCTAAGAACCACACGATGCCCGTCACGCGAGATCCGGCTGAAGCCGGCAAGGGCAACGCAAGATTTCCGAAAAATCAGGTCGACTTTTTCTGCATGTATAAATATGATATATATATATATACATATAATTATATACATCTACCATCATCTACCCTACATATCTACCATTATCTACCCGCACGATCACTCCATATCTCACAGCTTTCTCTAGAAAGACATAGACTTTGTGATTGATTGTGATTGTGTCTACACGGACGGCCTTTGGATCTGGAGGAGCGGAAAGGAGGAGACACTTTCAGAGATGTCTCAACCTCGGCCAAGTTGTGCAGCAGTCTTCTGCTCGAAATCGCTATCCGCGGGCTGTGCTCAGTCCATAGACCTGCTTCAATGACAACTCAATAGTGGTCCCCAAATAGATAATGGCACGGCTTCCAATACATCTTTAGTTCGGATCGACTTTTCTATCCATTTGGGGGTCTATATGTAGGAATCTTGAGTTGCTGGCTTGGCACACGTTACGCCGGGATGTAGGGGTCATTCTGAAAAGAATAGTAACAAGGTTCGCTACTAGGGGCTCCTGGCCTTACTACTAGGAGCAAGGACGCTACTAACTAGGGGCTCCTGGCCTCGCTACTAGGAGCAAGGACGCTACTAGGGGCTCCTGGCATCGCTACTAGGAGCAAGGACGCTAGTTAGTGCTCCTGGCATCGCTACTAGGAGCAAGGACGCTACTAGGGGCTCCTGGCATCGCTACTAGGAGCAAGGACGCTAGTTAGTGCTCCTGGCATCGCTACTAGGAGCAAGGACGCTACTGGATGATGCCTTCAGCATCTGACTCCACCAAGTGATCCTTCCTCAGCTGCCTCAGTTGCCTCCGCTGGGTGAAAGCGTCAGATCGTGTCAGTCCATCAGATCGACGTGTATGCGTCCATCAGTTCTAAGGCATGGACAGATGCTTCAGTTTCTCCTGGATTCGCTAGGACTCGGATTCGCCCCGAGTCAGATCACCTTTATTCTTCACATGGCTTCATCGTCCGGTTGCTGTGAGACGGGTTTCATCTTCCGGCCTTCCACCGGCTTTCGCTGGGGCGGAGTCGACTTTGGGGGGCTTCGAAGTCCTGGCCACGACTGTCATCTTCGAAGATGCGAGTGGCGATGTTCAGCGAACATAAAAAGGGGAAGATGGGCTCCAAGGCTGGATGCCGCTGGATGCCGCTGTGCGGCAACCACTAGGGCAACCCTTTTTCCCAAAAGCATCTCCGATGCTTGGGTTCTCGTTTAGTCGCTAGTGCCGCGGAAGAGCGAAGGGAGGCGCGTGGGTGTGGACGGGGCTGGGGATGGAAGGGAGGGGAGCGAGACGGAAGGTGCATGGGTGTGGACGGGGCTGTGGATGGAAAGAAAGGGAGGCGAGAAGGGAGGCGCGTGGGTGTGGACGGGGCTGGGGAAGGAAGGGAGGGGAGCGAGCATGAGTGTGGACGGGGCTGCGGATGGAAGGAAAGGGAGGCGCATGGGTGGACGAGGGGCGCGAGACGGGAGGCGCGTGGGTGTGGACGGGGCTGGGGAAGGAAGAGGGAAGGGAGCGAGACGGGGTGCATGGGTGTGGACGGGGGCTGT